TTGAAGTCAGTACTCTAGCTTAAAGATTGGACTCAGTCTACTTATTATAATTTAATTTGGAGTTTGTGGAGAAGTTTTTATCATGACAGCTGCTGATTTCATGCTCTTTCGGGATGGGATGAATCAGTGTGAATGACTGATTCAAACTTGAAGACTCCCACAAGGTTTCTGTGTGAATGACTGACGAAGACAGTGGTGTGGGTGATAGCAGAATGGGTCAAATGTGGGTAGATTGGTACTCAGCAGCTGTGATAAAATACATGTCGGCTTAAAGGTCCATTTTTAATCTTTATAATTTTAATCATCGGTCTCTTATACTTACCAAAAAAATCATCGGTCTCTTAAATATTTATAATTTATTCACTTATAAAATAATTTTTATATTTTTTTAAAAAATATAATATATAAATTTCTCATGATATACTTATTCATAATAAATTATTAATATAATAATAAATATAATTTAAGTTAAAAAAATTGATAATATGTGGATTTAAAAATATAAACTGATTACCTGATTCGATGGGTTGTGCCCTAGCCTTGTCTCGACATTCATCATAAAGGGAGAAGCCTCTTAGCATTTGCGATGGTCAAGAAGGCCATAACGAAAAGTCGATCCCTTGGGCCCAAAGAGGAAATCATTAGTCGCATTGTGTGCTTCAACATCCAGAGCTTCTTCTTTTTCATGCCTTAGCTTATGTCCAGCATTGCCATTGGATCAAGTGAGGCACGAAGATGGGCAAATGATCATATTGGTGGTGCTTTTCACCTTGAGAGAAACCATGTAGCTTTGGTGCCTCCGCTCACAAGGATGCCACCATCCCTGGACCTTGGTGTCGGTCAATAAAAGACTCCTTTGTTAGCGCAGCTAGCAAATTGGGCACGAGGGGCTGCAAGGAGCCCATAGAACTCATCCTCTCATTATACATCTTTTATCTCTTTGTTGTTGTTGTAAGCTTCCTCATTCTTATCCTCGTCTGTTGTTTCTAGTATAAGGATTGAATCGTATACCATCTCCTTGGTTGGGCTTCGACATAAGTAGCAACGACTTGTCATCGTCATATATCTTAGCAACAACAATAGTAGTGATGACAGTAGCCACTTTGTTCTCCCCCAACTGTCATTCCCCACCTTTGTTGGTTTTCTAATTATCATCATTGGTAGTTCTTCTATTCAGGTTTCAATTCTCCATCTCTCCCATTGCCCCTTGCTCAACAACAGGTGTATCGTCTTCTCGATGGTGGAGCGCAAAAAGGAAGGATGCATGGTGCCAAGAGGCAAAGCAGATGAGATAGACGAGGTTGGCATAACTCCTAACGTGGGTAGTAATATAGGGAAAGTGGAAGGCGTGAGAGCACTTCGTCGTGAAGACTAGCATCTCCTAGCTCGCCTTCATAGGGTTGATTAGGCAGCTTATCCACGTTTTCAAATCCATACATTTTCATTTTTTAACTTAAATTATACATATTATTATATTAATAATTTATTACGAGTCAACATATTCTAACGTCTATTAACTTGGACTAAATATAAGGGATTTATATGCTACGATTTTTAAAATATTGAGATTATTTTATATATAAATAAATTATAAATTATAACCAAAATCACGGACTAAAATGAACCTAAACCTTATCTTATATTAGAAAATATTTGATGAAAAAAATTAGATGTGTGCTCTCCATCCTCTAATTGACTATTATAAGGCAAAAGATCCACACGAGAACACACATATCCGAATAAAATTATCGCTAAATTATTATAAGAAAATAAAATATCAGTAACTAAAACATATTTTTAAATTAATAATAAACATACATTTATAAAAAATAGGTAGTTATAATTTGGAATGTTATACAATTAAGAAATCATATGGATATACTTTTTTTTTATAATAAGATAAAAATGTCGAAGTAGATGTATGGTATTATTAAGAAAGAAAGAAAGAAAATATTTTAATATTTGATAGAGGATAAAATAAGATGAAATTATTTAAAATAGTATCTTAAATAAAATGTACTTACATATAATAATTAGAAAGATAAAATAGTTACCATTAGTTGTATAAAAAAATAGTTACCATGCAGTACGGCACAATCCCAGACTTATTATATCTAATATGTTAGATAGAGAGAAATCTTTGAGTTGTATTATTTGAGCAAAGTTTTTGTGGGCTTATAATTGAAATATAATGTTAGTATTCCAAAACTGCAGAGAGAAAGAACACGTAATAATAGGCTTCATGGACGCCTTAAGACTCGTTCCAAAACTTGTTGAACGGTTGAAGCGAGATCGAGAGAGAGCCTCTCCGTCTCCGCAAATGATGGCTTCCTTCCCTTTACATAGCTTCCTTCGCTCCCCTTCCTCCTTCCATCCCTTCCTCCGTCCGTCCGTCCGCTGGCCTTTGTTTCTTCGTCTTGCGCACCGGCTCGACCGACGGCGACGCATGCCATGGCCTCCCTTCGCGCGACAGTAATCCTCGCGATGCTCGCGTGCATGCTGTTGATGAAAACCGACGTCGTCGCGGGTGACGTCGTCGCATTGGGAGCGGATGGGATGACCATCAAGAGCACCGACTTCCATGCGAACGCGGCGGCCCTCAACGAGCAGCATCACGTGGGCGAGGACGACCCCGAAGTGTTCCATGGATTCGATCAGGAACTGGTCGTGCTGGGCCATTAGAAATCAATCGTGTATCTGAAGTGCAGCAGGCCATACTGATCCTGCGCGCCTTCTCCATTGGAAAGCTTTGAGATTTCTAATTCATCGATTCATATGCTGTGTGTGTTGCGAGCAATGTAATTGCCACACTAGTCCAAAGATTCGTGTTCCGCCATTGCATGCTTGCTTGATTGAATACCGGCAGATCAGAGTCCAGTAGTAGATGGGGATGTCTTGCTTTGTCTTCACCCGAGCAGACGAGGTTTTAAGGGCGATAGGTCTAAAAATCCAATAATTCATAAAGAAGAGAGATCACATTAAAAAAACAAAAAAGTATTCAGAGGATTTGAACTAAAGAGAAAACAAGAAGCAATGGTCAAACAATGAAAAGAGGAGCAACCCAAAGACGGGGGTTGCCTCCATTGCCGGTGTCATGGGTAGAACCACTTTGACGCCAGCGTCTCAGCTGGTGGTTGGCTGATAGAAGTGTTAATTGCAGCAATGAAACATAAAGAATGAGATCAAACAAGGCTTCGCACTTGTTTCCTTAACCTTCTCTTTGGGAACACACATCCTGCGCTCCTGCTTCCGTAGTCCACTAAACTCTCTCTCGCCGCTTCCTCTACCTTGGAACGAGAGCTAAAACAAATGGAGTCCGTGCAAAAGGAGCAGTTCGCTGTTACCCGAGTGGGGGAACATTGCACCTGGTAGGCATGCACGAGAGAGATTTACACGGATTGATAATAATCTATTGCCAATGTGTGGTCTTTGGCGTGGAGAGCACAACAGAAAGAAGGGTCTTTTTGGAGTGGATTGCTTTTGCACAGGGCCACATGCCGAGGGGGGAGGCTCGATGCCTCATTGGCCATCCTCTAAAAGCCATAACATGTTCCTACACAGGTGATATGGTCAAACTTGATGGATTTGGCAAAATTAATTCGATTTATTTTTGGATTTTTGGGTACCGTCGCATTATTACATGACTGAAAAGAGGTCATTTGACTATTTAGAACTTGAAGGAGAGCAATTTTTTTGTCATAAGCATAAAAAAAACCTGTAGAATGATGATTAAAGAATGTAGAATGTAATGTACAGTCCACACAAGAATAATATATATAAATATAATAATACCATGCATATATCATCATCAACAAATGTAATATTCAAATCTCTTAGTTCAACCGATAGAAAGAAATCATATTAGACTCTCGATAGTCGATGAATTGGTGCCTCAGGCAACATGTCTCTCTTTGCGCTAGCGAGAGACTGAATGACTTCCACGTCTAACGATCTATTAATTCCTTAAGTACTATAAACACTTAGAGAATCGCTCTACTAATACTAGTCTGCTGCTCTAAGCAAGATAATAAATATCTCTCTACTCAGTGTCACACACCCATCAACGTAATCAAATCATAACAAATTATGTGTTATATAACATATAACATATAAGATGAGAGTCATCATCATCGAAGTCAACGGGGATAGAATATGATAATGGTTGCAATTATTTGTATTATCTGTATCTTTGGGATATTTTTATGTATTTTTTTAACTTTATACGTTATTCTAAAGTATTTACGTATTTATTAATTACCTATATTCTAATTAATTACTGTTCATGAGCCTGTTCTGGGATCAGGTCACTAATCACCCACAGTGCCAACCTATGGGTTGGACCGCATAACCAGCCCACTACTTGGGCTTATGCAGGATTGGACCTCCCCAATCAAAATTGGGTGCAAAGATTGGACTCAATCAGGATGTGGTCGGGCGTGACCGCAAGTAATGATTGAGCTCAATCTAGGGGTGTGGTTCGGGTTCAATCAGCAATTGACCATGCAGTATGTTGTGTCAAGAGACATAGCTGACTTGACACAATCTATTGCTGACGTAGTTGGTCATAAACCAGATTGGTAGATTGCCATGCAATCTGTTGTCAGTAGTCATGCTGAGTTGACACAAGTATGTGCTGACATGGCAATAGTTAACACTAACGTGACAGAGTCAGAGTCAAATAAAATCAACAATCAGATCTGATTACTCAAAATCATAAATCAGAACTAAACGGAAACTGATGATGTATATTTAAATCGGACTGTGATCAGAACCACAAAATAATAGACTGAGCTGTGGATTGACCCAACGGGGTCTGTGGGTTAGGTTAGATGTTAGAAGTATAGTAATAATAAGTCTTAGTCAAATAAGTCAAAATTAACTTATATCATACTAATTTAATTCAAAATTTGAAGTTGTTAGGTTATGGGTTATCTGTAATTTGATTCTTACCCAATTGAGGAAGACGTGGGTCTACTTATCGCTATGAACCGACCGCCGCTGCTCAACCCACACCCTCCTCAGCCACAGCCTAGATGACCACCGTGTCGTCTGCTCCCGTCCAACCGCTCCTCTTACCAGCCCCATCTCCACGAGCTCACACTTCCTCCGCTCTTCCACGAAATGCTCGACGTGATCACTCAATTCCCTCCTCCTCCTCCTCCTCCCTCATCCTTCATAAAACCATGCGTGGGGAGTTCTCCCAATCTTTCCAACTCTTCCGGGAACTCTTGGCGTCCGGATGGACCCCCGACGAGTTTGCGCTGGGCAGCCTCCTCAAAGCCAGCTCCAACCTCTCCGACTGCTGCCTCGGCGAGCAGCTCCATGCCAAGTCCATCCGCGCCGGCCTCGCTTCGGAGCGAGGCGTGCGCACTTCCCTCGTGGCGATGTACTCCGCCAATGGCCTCTTGGGGGAAGCCCGCCACGTGTTCGACGAAGTTCCCTTGGCCGAGGAGGCCGACGTCCCGACGTGGAACTCCGTTATCTCCGCCTACGCCTTTCATGGCTACTACGATGAGTGCTTCCTTTTGTTCGGTGCCATGCTCGGCGCAGCGCAGTTGACGCCAACCGATGCGACGTACGCGATCGTCATCAGCGCATGCTCGGCGAGCAAAAAAGTTCGCATCGGCAAGGCGATCCATGCGATGATCCAGAAAGACCAAATGCTTGATGAGATCAAGATGCATAACTCGCTCATCAGCATGTACGCGAAATGGGGTCATTTGGAGGAGGCGCAGAAAGTGTTCGAGGCGATGGCTGCCAGGGACGTGGTTTCTTGGAATGCTATCATCTCCGGCCTCGAACAACATGGTGAATGCGAGAATGCATTGGCATTTCTCCGTAGGCTGGCAGGACTGAAAGCTCCACCGGTTGTGCAGCCAAATAGAATTACTTTTCTCAGCGCGCTGAGTGCTATAGCCACAATCTCGGGCTTGAAGTTGGGGAAGGAGGTCCATGCACGGCTAATTAGATCAAATCTTGATGGGGAGACGAGCACAGGCAATTCATTGATCACCATGTATGGGAAGTGCGGCGAGGTGGAGACGGGGAGGTTGACTTTTGAGATGTTGCCTTCCCGTGATGTTATCAGCTGGAACTCCATGCTCTCTGGTTATGCTCAGAACAGCCAGCTCGGTAGCTGCTACGAGCTATTCAAAGCGATGCAGCTATCAGGATCCAGACCTGATTTCCACACTATGACCATTCTTCTCTGTGCGATGTCGCCAGGATCGGTATCGTCTTCTTCTTGTAGGTTGGGAAGAGAGATTCATGGCTATTTAGTGAGAAGAGCAGCAGTCAAATCACTGCCCGTTTCCGTTTATAATGGCATCATAACCATGTACTTCAAGTGTGATAGGGTTGGAGATGCAGAGAAGGTCTTCAAGGGGATGAGCGAGCGCGACTCCCACACTTGGAACTCGATGATCGATGGGTGTTCGACCAATGAGCGCTGTCGTGTTGCGATGATGCTCTTTGTAGAGATGCACACGCAAGGCTTCCAGCCAGATCATTCGACCTTTTCGATCATTCTTACGGTTTGCAGCAGATTGGTCTCCGTCGAACTGGGAAAGCAGTTGCATGCGTCCGCTGTAAAGCAATGCCTCCATGCTTCCTCTCCTCCGACCTTTTCCTTGTCGGTCAACAATGCACTTGTGTCCATGTATTCCAAGTGTGGTAGCATAGACGATGCAGCTCAATTGTTTGGGAGGATGCCAAAGAGGGATGTGTTCTCATGGACGGCAATGATTACAGGATTTGCACATCATGGGATGGCCTATCGGTCACTTGAATCCTTTGAGGCAATGAAAGCAGATGGAATTCGGCCGAACGCAGTTACTTTTCTGGGTTTGCTTAGTGCTTGTGCTCATGCAGGTCTGGTAGAGGAAGGTGCGCACTATTTCAATTTGATGAGCAAGGAGAGTGACGCTGAGCCAAGCATTGAGCACTATGCTTGCCTGGTGGATTTGTTTGGTCGATCGGGCCAGTTTGAGAAAGCTGAGGCTACGATAGAGATCGCAACTTCTCACCTGGGCCTCGAAGGTGTCTCTTGCTTGTGGCTGTGGAAAGTACTGCTCGGGGCATGCCATGCACGCAAGCAGCTTGAACTTGGCATTCGCGTTGGAAGAAGGATCTTGGAAGTCGACCCTGACGATGAGACTACTCATGTTCTTCTTTCCAACATCTATGCTGCCTTTGGCTTGTGGAAGGATGCTTTAGAGGTAAGGAGGTTGATGAGGGAGAAAGGATTGAAGAAGGAAGCTGGATGCAGCTGGGTAGAGATCGGAAATAGGAAGCATGTCTTTGTGGCCGCCGATGGTTTCCACGAAAACCGAAAGGAAATCTATGAGAAGCTCGAGGAGTTGGATGAGAAGTGTAGAGACATTGGGTATGTTCCCATGACAGACTACGTTCTCCATGATGTTGATGAAGCTCAAAAGGAAGCAGTCCTAAGATATCATAGTGAGAGATTAGCAGTATCGTTTGCATTACTACACACAGGAAAGAGGAAAGGAGGAGTAATTCGGGTGATCAAGAATCTGCGAGTATGTGAGGATTGTCATAGGTGGATGAAGTTTGCGTCTGAGGTTGAAGGCATGGAGATCATCCTAAGAGATTCCAGACGATTTCATTCTTTTAGAAAAGGGAAATGTTCGTGCGGTGATTACTGGTAGCGAGAAGAATATGACAACTTAGGAACACAAAAAAGCATGTAAGGGTTGATGGCTGTAGTTTAGTATGGTAGCCACAACCCATCGACTAAAGTATCCATCATTCTCGGTTAGCGGTGGAATTGTCCTGGGAACGCGAAGCTTGTACGCATAAAAATTATAACATATTATTAAATAAAAATTTAATATAAACAAATATAATTAAATAATAATATATTTAATATTACATCTTGATGCTGTTTAAAAGTTTTTATCTGATTTATATTGTTGTTGGATTTAATAGTTATAGTGACGTTGATTTGTCCTCTTCCTATCTTCCTATCTTTCACATGATTGTTATGAACGATAAATGGGAGATGAGAGAAGATCCATAATATCTCAGTAAATGATTCACTTCAATAACGAGAGATCTATAATATCTCAATAATGTTATAGTAATTAGAAGAGTCACTCTAATCCAAGTCGAATTCTATCATAATTATATTTTTTTTATTAATCAATAACTAATTCAATCGTATCTATAATATATCTCAAATAATTAGAATCACATAATCTAATATTTTTTTCACTTACTCTATTAATTAGTAAGATAAAAAATTTTAAAATCAAAATAAATAAACTAAAAGCTTATTTGTGAAAATAATTTTATTTAATTGGATTCTAAAAATTTTAAAATATCATAAATAGATTAAAAAAATGATTACGTTGGATGGATAGCAACTTTCATAAAGTAAAATCTTTAGTTATCTCGAATCAATTATAAATGGAAAGATTGATAAAGATATTAATAATATTTTATGAATTTAAGTAGATAGAAACATATATAAAGAGTTTGTGTTATTAAGATGAGAATATTAAAATAAATAAGTAAAGTTACTTAAAATAAGAAAAAAATTATTTATGAATAATTAAATATCACTTTAATAAAAGATAAAATAAGAAATATAGACATATTTAGAAGACATGAGGATTACTATTAGTAACATTAAGAGGCATAGATAAAAACCTAAGAATATTTTAATAAAAATTATAAATAAAAAATTAAATATTTTATTTTAACTTAATATAGTCGATTCTAAATATCTGAGTTGTGTCCGAGAAGAAGCAAGTGCAACAACAGAGCACAGTAAGGTATCAGGGCTCGATCACAATGCAGAAATCAATGCCGTCGCTTCAGAGATGAGCTGCCACGGAAACGGAAACATTGAAGTGCAGCACTCCCAACCGCACTAATTGGTGATGGTGACTAAATAATAATACCAGTAAAATAAGGCGGCACGTAACATAAATGGATCGTTTTAGCCGTCGCTCGCCGTAATACTCCCCGCATTTCAACAGACAGTTCAATGCAAGACAAACGAAATTGATATTGCGCTGCTCTTCTGCTCATCTTTCCGACCCGTCGTTTCTTACTGTACGATTCGATGGAACCAAATAATCACTGGTAAACCAAGAAAAAACCTCCTCCATCTTCACAATCATTACATGGAATAGAACAGAGGAGGAGGAGGAGATTGAAACGAAGTGCTCGCTCTTCTTCCCACTTCTTTCCCGTTTTCCTGTACAATTTCCTTCTCTCATTGAAGCATCCAACCCATTACTATTGAGAGCGACTACCAGAGAGGAAAAGGAGACACCGTTGTCTTCTTCTTGGTCCAAGACATTCTTTGATTCCTTCATTCCTTCATGATCTGGATTCAAAACGTACTCTACTCTGCATCCGTTACTCCGACGCGCTTCGCCGCGGCGTTGCAGGGCGGCGGCTGCGTGCCGCACACCATGCGGCCCTGCTCCAGTTCGACCATGTAGCTCCGCACCTCGCTGCGGATCATCTCTTGCATGACTGCCATGAACTCGCCGCTGAATGAGAAAGGTGCAGACCGACGCTCATCATCGGCGTTCGGAATCCGGGCGCGGCCAGAAGGGCTGGCGGCGGTGGCTGAACATCGCTGCATCATCCGATGGGGGGCATGAGCGGAGGACGGCAGTGGTTGGAGCTGGTTCTGGTTGTTGGTGTTGGGGCCGGCCAGGACGTGGCGGTGGCTGGAGGTGTGAATCTGATCTGAGCCGGGGAGGGAGAGGGTCAGGAAGGTCGTTGGACCGTCGTCGTTCTTTAGAGAAGTAGGATCAGCAGCAGCAGTGATCGGTCCGCCATGATGGTGGTGTTGGCTCGGAGAAAAGGAGAGAGTCACGACACCGCCAGTTCTGGGAAACGGCTGATGGATGTGTGACGCCGCCGCCGGCGGAGAGATTAGCGAGTGACTGTGGTGACTGGAATCACTGAGATCGGATCTAGACGGGCTTCCGGGGCTCAAGCAAAGACCCGCTCCGCCGGACAACAGGGTGAGGCCGTCGCTGCTTGCTCTCTTCAGTGGCCTCGTCGCCACCGCCTCGTCCTCCCGATGCGCCGCCGCCTCCTTTTCCGTCGTGATCGCGTCGTACCGGTGCCGCAGCTCGTTGTCGACGGGGCAAGCGGTGCTATACTTGCGCTTGAGGGTGGAGTTCCAGTGGTTTTTGATGGCGTTGTCGGTGCGGCCGGAGAGGAGGCGGGCGATGGTAGCCCACTTGTTGCCGAAGCGGCGGTGGGCGCGGACGATGATCTCGTCCTCCTCCGCCGTGAAGTGGCGGTGCTCCACCTGTGGCGAGAGTTGGTTGCACCACCGCAGCCGGCATGACTTTCCGGAGCGACCCGGGATGGACTTGCTGATGAGCGACCAGTTCCTAGGTCCGTGGCGCTGCACCAGACTCTGCAGCGCCTCATCCTCCTCTTGGCTCCACGGCCCCGTGATCCTATCCACATCCTTCCTGCTTCCCATCGCCGCCACCAAGGGACCCAAACTCCCCCAACCTAAAGAAAAGAGAACAATAGAAGGTAAACAACCTCACTTTCAAGAGACAGAGAGACTAGGAGAGGGAAGAGGAAGCAGCAATACGAAGGAGAAGATGAAGTGCTTCGGAGGGGTTTTATAGAGAGGCAGAGCCACCTGGGTCGGCGGCGACCGACGTAACGGAGGGCGCTCCCGCCCTCTTCCGGTTCCGCTCGCAATCGCATACAGCTGGCGCTGTACACGCGTCGCCATCTCATTGCACGCTTTCTGTGCCCTCTCACTCCTGTCCTCTTCACACATCGACCCACGCCACCAACTTACCCGCCCCGCCTGCTCCTTAGAGGAGAGGATGACGAGTCAATGCGGGGCCCGCTTGCCGTCAAATCAAAATCGTACCCCACGCTTGCGCCATCCAGTCCACGACCCATCGCGTCGAACATCATCCACGAACGACGCGCTGGGGCCCTTTCCGTGCATGAAATTATCAGTGTAATAGTCCGCTAATGTTGGAGTTTAATGCATATCTCCATCCACCACAAGTTCTGGTGCTCCATAAATGATCATAATACTCGACATTGTTGTTATTTGTTATGTTGGTACAATGTTTTCATGATATGGACGGAAGATGCTGCATAAAGTCCATAAACGCCAGGCTGTCACCTTGTCGGATGCCGCCTCTTCCCCCCCTTCGCTCCACGATCCGATCACCTCTTCGGCTTCCTCGCGTCTTCCTCGTTCCTATCTTACATGCATGATTTCCAAGGAACACCCTACGTGTAAAAATTGAGATAGTTTCAGAATAGGTAAGTAAATGCGCAACAGCTATCCCGTGATTTTGGCCTTTTTTGTGACTCGTACGTCGTGTGCACTCCTTACAGCTGTTGGCTCGGCCCACACTTCCAGCTGTTGTTTGACTCTCCTTCCCACGGGCCCACATGCGTCCGCTTCCCTCCCTATTTTTTATGGCAATTATCGATTTGTATATTATATGCTTCTCCGTTCGCAGGTTTCTTTTCCGTTCGCAGCTGCAGAGTGCTCACTGTTTGCCTTTGACTTTTCTCATGTAACAACCGTCACTTCCCGTTCGACTTTTGCTTCTGTAGCCATTCATTAGTATCCTAATTTTTCTCCTTGTGGGTTGAAATCTCGATCGAACGGACATCCAATTTAACCGTGTTACGTTTCTATCCTGGTAGGCTCACAAAAACCTCATGATGCCCGTCACGTGGAGAATATGGGAGGGAGGGCTTCGTGTACTTGTCCGTGCTCCCCTTCCCCGCGGGCCCCCACAGAGCAACCATCGGTCAAACCCCCACGTGTCCGACCGACGTACGGGAAGTAGTGGCGGGACCCGGTGACAGCTCGTTGCCTTGCGTCCGACACCAGGACCATAGTTCCGATGAGACCTTCGCTTCAAGGCACGAAATAAGATGCACCTGTAGATGAGGTGCAGTATATTGTGTTGAATAAGATAAAATACATGACGATTATAAAAAGTATCATATGTAAGTCGAGGTTGGATGTATGGTTGACCCCTCACCGCTACATGACAAGATTGGTTCGGTCGAACTGAGTTGTTTGTTCTGTTTTTGAAGGTATGAGAAGGCGGAATCGCATATATGATGAAGACCTAAAAATTACGTGATCTGATTGCAGCTCCAAAAGAGGAAGATTTTGGTCTAAGCTTTTGAGCAAGAAAGGAAGGGAAAGGTAATGGTGGTGGTGGTGGTGGTGGACTCCATGGACCATTTGGTCTCTGGCTAGAGGATAAGCATGACACGGTGGCTGCGGATATCGTCTATGATGCTCTCCTTTAGACCACATGCACTGTTCTTCGTTTGATGGGCTCTGTGGTCTTGAAGGAAGAAGAGGGAGCTGTGATCTACGATCCATATCTCGGTAAGCTGCATCGGTAAACGTTGTCGCCAGGCTTTCTTCTTCTTTCAGCTCTTGTACCGGAATGGCCACTCAATGATTTCTTCGAGTATTTGTGGATGTCGTACAGATGAATTGTTTGAAGAAATGGCGGACCGAGAGGCGTCCACATTGTGTGGTGCCGACCGAACATGCCATCTGCTGTGTTGGTGAGATGAAGTGCCGAGTTCAATGTTTACTGACTCAGATGCACATTGTCTCGGTACAATGATTAAGGGAGTCCCACAGCACATCAGAAATCCCAACAACGGTACAGCATCCTCACATCAAATGGAGGATAGATATGAGGACCTGAATCTGCTGCCACACCACACAATGGAAAGTTAATGCTGCTTAATGAACGAGCGTCAAACGTGGGAATAGAGATGGTAGGAGGTCCTGTAGAAGAATAGAGGAACTGTGCAATCTCAGAGGTGTTCACGAAATCACTTGAACTCTGGACCTTTCACCGACTCTTGTCGTCCAGCCTGAATGGGTGAAATGCGTTCAAACCATCATTAACTTGGCTTCCTATGTCTGGTATATCCCGTTCTTTAGAGAGAGAGAGAGAGAGAAGTTATGTGCTTGATATTGCTGACAATGATGAACATGGCAACAGGTGAGTCTCCACGTCGTCCTTCGTCGAGCACATCAACTCCCACACTTCACAAACATGAGATCGAGTACAATACATTGGAGACGTGGACTACATTCAACTCCCAGCACATTGCAGCCATGGATGCACAATAGGTAGGTAGCATCTACGATCAAGCATGTCCTCGAATGCTATGGAATGTCGGCAGGCCAACACCTTCTTCGTCGCCACCGAGTCAATGCCACAGCAGATTGTTGACACGTCCAATTCATTCTGCTCCCTTGCCCACCACACATTAATTCTGACAGCCCCCAACAGTGATATCATCACCATCGAATGCAACACTGCATCCTGAATCGATTGGTACAATCTCCTGCACTCGATTATTATTGCGCCACCGAAGGAGAATCCAAATCCGAGCTTGTCCATCCAAAGTATTTGGTCCAATTGACTGCTTATTCGTCACCCGAGTACGTCCATCACATCAACTCTGTCTGTGTCGTCGGTGATGCACTGCAATTCTATTCTTAACCAGTGTTTATTTGGGTGGCGTAGTATTTTTGGATGCTAAGCGATTCAAATTACTTAATGGATTATGATTAGGAATTTAAGTAGAAAAATAAATCATTAGTGATTAGATTTTATTACTATAAATACCTGATATATCTTTAGATTTTAATGTGAAAGCAAAATATGATAAAATAATTTGGGTGTTGTGTGTTTTTTTTATAATGGATATAAAGAGGACGAGAGAAAATATATAAGAAATTATTTTTGATGATTTAATATAAAAGGGTATCTAAGGGAATTGGGCGCTTAGGTTGGGGTTAACTTGAAGATTATTTATGATTAATCTATAGAAAATTTGTTGATTTATGATTGATCTCATATAGAGAAATTTTTTTGTTGATTTATTTTTGATTTTTTTGATTTATGATGATTAATCTATGAAATATGCATCCATTTTCTAATATGATTTTTTGGTTATTAATAATATATGAGAATTCTCTTTTAATTTTTAATTAAAGTTTTTTTCCTATATAACTTGATCATTTGGTCGGTCGATCATTGGTGCAGCCCGTATGCTCATGAGGAATTGTTCGTTTTGAATGATGGAGGAATTGTCCGCTTTGAACGATGGATGTACCTTTACGATTTTCTCTTTTTGGAACGTGTGAACTTCAAAAAATACTTCTAAAGGTAAGAAAGACTTGATGGACTTATTAGTCTTGGTTCTCATACTCCTCAACCAATGTGAGACAATGGATAGGTAAAAAATCATCAGGTGGACGGCTAGCTGGTGGAGTCATGCCCCCGAGAGATATATTTCGTGCTGTGTACTCTCTCATCCGATGCATAGAGATAACACCATCGTCGACGAAGAGAAAAGAAATACTGGCGGTGGTGGGAGAGTTGTCGCCGTCGACTTTGGTTTGTACACCACAGTGGAACGCCTGTTGGCTGTTTGCATTCGGTTGTTGTTATCATTCTTTGTCTGATAGATAATATAGAAGACGCGAGTCACACTTCGGTCTACTCTCTGTCGTATCACCAGTAACCATACCATTCGGTCAGATGAGAAGGAAGCATCAAACATGGCAGTCACCCACCCTGACATGAAAGTTAGTCGTCCACAGGTTTGATTAGTTTGGCCTGTTCAAAATGCAACACCATGATGCATGCGTGCTTGCTTGCATGGGATCATTGTTTCCCTTCGTCCGGCTTTTGTTTCTCATCACTGGACTAGGTGAGGTGAAACCTGTCAAACGCATGCAAACTGACGGAGAAATGCAGTAGAATCAACTCCTCGCCATTTCCTTGTGGCACTACGCAGACACGAGATATCCTTGGGCCCAACGCAAGCTGATTCGGCCCGTTTAGGCCCAAGCTACTAGTATGGGTTTGGATCATAGTCAAGAAATCACGTCGGCTGACGTGGGGTTTCCGTGACAACACGTGAATGAATCGAAAGGGCTCGATGAGATTATTATTATTATTATTATTATTATTATTATTATTATTATTATTATTATTATTATTATTATTATTATTATTATTATTTTGAGCTTAAGCATTTCAAGTTGGTAAGATACATCCTAAGATCGATAGGGTAGCTGGTGGTGATGAATGCACATGCCGCGTATCTTGCATCTTGTATCACTTGAACTAAGATCACATAGACAGATACAGTTTAAAAAGATTTTTGATGACAATAAACATAAGATAAATTGATGAAATTTCTAGCTATATTATTTTCATATAGACATGTAGTGAAGCAATATCGTCCAATAGAGAGTATACCGTTAGCTAATCGGTATTTGATACGTAATTGTCACATGATATCAAGGATAAAAGGAGAAGACGAAAGTCACGTGGCTAAGAATTCAAGACAAATGATTATAGATAATCACCTGATCGCACAATCACCTTCCTTTGTCACCCACGTGGATAAGAGGTCAAGGGAAGTTTGTTGGAAATGGTTAGAGGTTGTTTCCCTATGTAATATTTCATGGAATATTTAATCCATTTATAATTAAATATAAAAGTTCGTTTTTAACATAATAAAAGATGGCTTATCTTTTTTAGTTATTTACGTTCACACTCATGTATACCTCGAGTTACTAACTTAGGCTTTGGAGGAATCAAATCAAGAAATCTTTTTTAACCTCGATCTTCGTACAAATGACATCTCGGGATTTCGATATTTTCACCTCGGATAATCCCGTGCATACGGGTTTATATCACGTCGGGTTAACAAAAACGTCAATTGACTCCTTTCTTCATCATCGTCCTACTCAAAAGTCTCATTCGATTCTATACCTCTCGGAGGTTCGATGATGTTGAGATGATTGACGTTTTACGCTGCTCATTATGGAAGTTGTAAGATGCAAAAATGATCCAATAAAACTATCCAAACAATCATTTTTAACCTGCAAGCGAGAAACAAGCCTAAATTCACATACATTTACATCATCTTTTATCATCCTAAAATAGGCCATATCAAGGACAATTAATTTAGGCGGAATAGTTAATAAATAACAGCAAATTTGCTTAAACATTCTGTTCCAGAAAATTGGTACAACAAATTCCTTGCTACAATTTGCTCGCACAGAAACTAGGCAATGACCAAATGAAACACTGCAACCACAAAAATATCCTGCTATACGATAAGTTTGGGGAGAAGTCTTCCACCACTCTTTTCTTCTTCTCGAGTCCATTTCGGAGGTGATGCTCTTCCTCGAGTCCAGTAAGTACGTATTCCAGTTTGCACAACTGGAATTCTTGTCCCCAGTAACCATATATGGCCTGTTCATAAGGATCAATACCTACAGCCTCATCCTTCTTTGGTCACAGATGCTTACAGCATACACACCTCCACATTTGTGTTATGGCACTGGCGAAATGGGAGATCTAGGGAAGGCTTAATTATGGATGCACGAGGAGAGAGCAAAGAATCTGTACTGCCACAGAGTGGCAAGAGAGTGGCCCTCCTCTTTATTTGTTGGTAGTAGCTTTCCAAGGTTGAATCCGGGGGCCATGGAAGAACCTTACCTTCGCGTTGCTGCTACCAATTCATACGAACAGTACGGTGTGCACGGCTTAATCGTTTCCAGAACAACAATAATCCCTTAAAGATTGAACGCATCAAAGACGAACGAATCAATGTTAATGGCGTTGCTGATTCTACAGGAGAAGGCTATGGATATGGGAGCGAAGAAGAAGAGCTGGAAGATATGTTCTCCAGCACCTGGACTGCGTCCTTCATGGAAGGCCTCCTCTGAGGCGCCATGGCACAGCAAGCGAACCCCAGCTTGAAGCAGCTCAACAGAGCCGCCTCCTTGCCTTCCACCTCCCCTCTTATGCCTGCGTCGGCCATCCTTAGAAGCCTATTCCTTTCCTCCACCACAAACCCTGCGTTCCAGTGACAGAGCTCCACCTCCGAGAACACTCTCCCGGCGATCAGCTCCAGCAACACCATCCCGAATGAGTAGACGTCCCACTTGGTGTTGGGTTTCAGGTTCCTCAGGGACTCCGGTGCTTGATACGGCCGAGGGGCGAATGTTAAAGCGGAGGAACCGACGGAAGGGCTAGCTCCGGTGGCCGCCGATAGATCCGGCAAACTGATGGAAGATTGCATCGACCGCTTACTCCCGAATTGCCGGGCCGACGTGCCCACGCCGAACATCACCCTGTCGAGGCCGAAATCTCCGATCTTTGGCTCCATGTCCGAATCCAACAAAATGTTGCTCGGTTTGAGATTGCCATGCAAGCTCTTCTTTTCATGGATGTAGGCGAGCCCCCTCGCCACTCCTCTCGCTATTCTGAGTCGCGCCTCCCAGCTCAGATGCAACGGCGACGAGCCGAGCTTCTCTGCAAACAGTTGGGGAAATGCTTAGTACTGAAGCTGTTGACTCTTGACGGGGACAGCAGGGGATGGGAGACGCATACTGCTGAAAGAGATGTTGGCGAGGCTGCCACTGGGGGCATAGTCATGGATAAGGAGCTTCTCCTCGGTGCCCCAGTAGAACCCCCGGAGGCGGAGGAGATTCGGGTGGCGGAATTTGGCAATAACGCGGACCTGGGCGCCGAAATCCTTCAACTTGTCGATGACACCGCTCTCCCCTATCCGGCGGACGGCCAACGCGGTGCCGTCAGCAAGGACAGCCTTGTAGACGATGCTGGACGCGCTGGCGCCGAGAATGTAAGCCGAGGCTTTGAGCAGAGTCTCCATTTCCAGCTCGGTCTCGCCGTCAACCATGACGAGAGTAGCCCCCTGTTCCTTCTGCTGCGGGTGGGATTTACCATCCTCGCCCTCCTTCGTTCCCTTCGTCGCTTCTTCCTCTTCTGCCTCCGTCTCGGAGGATTCCGAGGTCTCCGACGTCTCCTCGGTGTCGCCTCCGTCCGCGCCTTTCTTTCTCAAGCAACAAGAGAACCCGCCTACTCCTTTGGATTCAGGGGCTGCCATTGTTGTTGTGGCTGTTGCTGCTGCTGCTACGGGTGGTGGCGGATCTTCCTTCAGCCCAACTTCTTTCTGCTGCTCTTGTGACCTCTTCTTCTTCACATGGTATACGTACAAGAACACAATGAAAAGGATCCCAATGACGGCCAAATCACCCACCGTGATCCCGATAACAGCCGCCGGACGGAGAGACCCTCGTCCTGCGGAGCTTTTCACGCTATCTGTCGGCGACGTCTCGTCCCTGTTCTCGGGTATCGCCGCGAAGGCCGGGGGAGACTTGGGCGCCTGCGGAGCCAGGGTGGAGGAATTAGGAGGGTAGGAGAGGGAAGACGGGATAGAGGGGATGGCGCACGGGTTCCTGAGCGGCCTCCCGCAGAGACTTGGGTTCCCCATGAACGCCATCGGCTTCTCAGCGGCGAAAGCGCCACCCTGCGGGATCTCTCCGGTGAGATTGTTGAACGAGAGATCCACCGTGGCACTAGCAGAAATACTCGCCCCCAGCTGCGGCGGGATCGCGCCGGTGAGGCGGTTGTAGGACAGGTTCAAGTACCGGACCCTCGGTCCACCCAGATCAGACGGTAAGGAGCCATTGATGAGGTTGGAGCTGAGATCCAAGTACTGGAGCCTCTCGAACCCACCACCGGGGAGTTCGCCGTACAGGAAGTTGTTGGCAAGAGAGACGACGGTGAGATTTGGCAGGCGAGAAAGGTTACCCGGCAGCCTGCCGATCAAAGCGTTGTCGGAGAGGTTGAGCACCTGCAGGCTGCTGCTCATGCGCCAGTCGAGCTCCGGAAGTTCTCCGGAGATGGCATTGTCGGCTAGCGAGAGCACCCGGACCTCGGAAGCGTTGAAGAGGGAGGCAGGAAGGGTGCCGTTGAGAATGTTGCCGGAGAGGTCGAGGTGGCGGAGGTGTTCAACGAGGCCGAGCTCGGGAGGGACGGAGCCCAAGAGCTGGGAGTTGGGCAGGACCAAGCTGATCACTCTGGAAGACGTGGGAACCTGTGTATTGCCACCACCATCACTCCTAGTATCGGTAGCAACAGTCCAGTTGAGAGCAGCGGCATCCGGGAAGCCCATGCACACGACTCCATTCCACGAGCACGGCGTGGCGTCGTAGTAGTTCCAGTCGCCGAGCGCGGCGAGGGGGTCGCTGAGGATGGAGTACTTGAACTTAAGCAGCAGCACTCCATCTTGATTGAGGCCCAACGCTGGACTGATCAGGAGAAGAAAAGATAGGAGCAGAGGAAGATAACTAGTGATCTGCCATTTGGTCTGGAGCCTACGACTTTGGGAGCTCATGTTGCTCGTGCTCCGGAGCAAATCATGTCTCAGTGACCGAGAGAGCAAGAGGAGGGTTGGAAGATTCAGCAAATTCTGGCCTGAAGAGCTTCAGCTATAAGCTAAGAGAGGAAGGCAAATGGAGAGGGAAGACAATACATTACTGGGGCTTCAACTGGGAGCAATGCATGTGACTGAGGTGTGTTGGCACAGGGGAAGAGGGGTAGAAAACTAAGGAGATTGGAATGGACTGTTGGAAGCTATAAAATAAGATCCACAGTTCATCAACAGGACCTCCATTGTGTGGAACAGCCTCAGATATTTTACCTGGACTAACTCAAGGAGACGAAGAAGAGAGAGAGCTGCTGATGGGACCAATTAATGGCATGCTTTTTGTAACCTTCTGTTCTGAGAGTAGACTGCCTTCAAGCTGGTTCAAGTCTCACCTATAGGGAAAGAAGGCCTAGAGAGGAATCTTGCTTGTGTTGGAAGGAGGACATGAGCAGCTTGATCTGCCGAACTAATGAAGAAGGTCTCATGGAACAAGTAAACGAGAGAGAAGAGAGAGGGAAGAATGTACTGCTTGCTGGTGTTTTCCTGCTGTCTCTTCACGAGGTGCTGTACTGATGACACAGTTATCTGAGTGAAGATCTGTTCAGGTTCTCAAAGGAGTAAGGTTTTTGTAGGGCCTCTTCTATTTCATGTGGTTGTTTTATATGGAGACACTGCAGAGGTTTGCATGGACCACAGAGGCATTATTATGTGTGGATAGTAGAGAGAGAGAGAGAGAGAGAGAGAGCCATGGAGTTAGGATGGGTAGACAATGGGAATCCTATGAGGGAAGCAGCAGCCCCATCAAGTGTTGGATGCAGGGAAGGTAGATGTGGACTGTGGTCATCACTTTATGTAGCTTTTCTTTTTGTGTTTTTGACAAAATTACTTTATGTAGCTTTTAGATGCTGAGAGTATTGACACAAACTTCTGCATTGTTTGGAGAAGCCACTGATGGCAGACAACAGAGAGTCTTGCTCCTTGTCTTGAGATAAAGTAGATTAGTCTCCTTCAATAAACCTTTATATGTATTGGAGAGTAAATAAGGGGGTTGGATCCCCCACCTATTCTAAGGCTCTTAAATTGCTTTTAACAAAGGATTATACTTGTGCAACTTGCTACTATTGATACTTTAATACTGAGGCTGCCACCTTCTTATCTGATATTTCACATGAATTGCTTTAGCTGCATAGTACAAATAGCCATTTGTTTGATGCATGGCTCAGGGTACTCTCTCTCTCTCTCTCTCTCTCTCTCTCTCTTTGTGAGTTAAGGTGATGTTGCAATTAGGTCTATCACTCCACTTGAGAAAATAGATCTACTGTTTTTTCACCCATCTTTTCATGTACAATACTATAATTCTACAGTCTCAGATTCTGTCCTTTGTGCATGATTGTGCCAACAAAGGAGAAGGTAATATTGCTCAATTATTGCTTCTCTCTGTGGAATACTGTATAATCTAGTGTTGAAGCAGGAACCAAAAGAATCTACTTGATTATGCATGTCTGTAAGAAAATGACAAGAACAGAGGAGATTAAAAAGAAGCTTAGAAATAGAAGTGCACTTTATTGTGTCACATAAGAGTTCAACAATCAGTGATACTTTAAACTTAGTTTGTAACCTCCACTTAATCCCTCATTATTATACATGAGCAAAGCATCAGTTCTTCATTAAAAGAAAAGAAAGAACTCTGGTCTTAAGCTTCAAAACTTCAGCAATTCATGTCTTTTTTATGGGCACAAAGAGTGTACATCTTGTGCAATCATAACATCATCTAGTAAAGCTTAATAATGGAAAATGATACTAGAGATCTGGTAGGCCTACCTCTTTCCATCACACATGTCCTCTGCCACCAACTACATGTGAACAGTAATATGGATGCTCTGATTGGGCAAGTTTTATAGTCCTGCTTTAATGACATTTCTTGGTCAGTGTCATATGCAACTCACTTGTGCTTAAGCTTAGACTTTCTGCAGCCTATTCTCTGTAGACTTCATTTGTCTGTTATGAGTACTTGCTCAAGTCATATCTCTCTCAAAACAGTCATTCCCTCTCTGTGATGCTACCTTTGTTGCTGTCTCACATATGAACTACTCACATGACATCTGAAAGAAGCAAGCAACACCAACTCTGCAATTTTATTAGGAACAAAGTGATGTTTATATAGATGTATGATCCTTCTCACAGTCTCATGTTACTACACTAATATGGCATCTTTTTGGCTGTATCATTTTCCACTCCATTTTGAAGTTTAGACAACAATCTCTCCCCTATCTCTTTCTTGCACAGCAGAAAGTAACGAAGGAAAAGGACCCATTAGACTCTCAACCCCTTCCATTTTACTGTGGATGGACCACCTTATGCGTGACATCTTGCAGCAAGAAGAAGAGATGTTCTTATCTTTTTTCTTCTGACACTTGTTTGTCTACCTTGGCATTTATTCTTGACAGAGTGTAGTTCTTGGCATGTGAAACAAGAGTTTGACATCCATTATTTACTTCCACTGTTCTTTTCTGAAGGAAAACACTCATTTCATGTGTCAATATAGATCCCAGTACAACTATGTGCCCACTAAGGTGATTGATCTGAACCAGCTTTTCACCCATTGTTTTCAGCTCATAACAACAGCAATGACAACATAAATGAAAAGAAATGTGAAGAAGCAGGACTGCATTACCTTTTTCAGAGAACAAACATCGTTTGATTGTGTGGAAGTTTAGTGTTTGACCAGAAGAAGGTGACTTCTGAGTTACTGATAGGACCAGATGATGGATGGCACTTCAGAACACGAAGTCCAATCTCACTGGACATGGCTGAGGTAGTGGCTCAGATAGCCAAGCTCTAAACTAATAATAGATTGAATTGTCATATATCTCATATGTGACATAATTCCATGTATATCTGCCTTGTGGTACCACTGCTACTTTGCCAGTCGAATTGTACCACCAGCATAGTTCCAAGAAAACAAGACAAGCGATCTTTACACTTCTGCTCCCCACCTTTGTCTGCTTTATCCGAACACGTGCAGAAGAAGTTGATCCATCTTAGCCAAAAGCCCCAATCTTGATCTTGATGGAGAGAGTAATGAAGAAAGAGGATATGGAGAACAAAGTCGAACACTTCATCAGGTGAAGATTGCTTCCATTACTTCTCATCAGAAAAAAGATGGACGTGATTTTAACCTGTACATCAATCCGTCAAGAATCTTCTCCTCCCTTATCCGACGATTAGATAGCACAATGAGGTCGTAGGAATGGCCGTGTTAACTCTGCCCGCACTCGAGATCTGCCGATATCTACCATGACAACACGTCCTCTGCCACATAGTCTCGAACACTTGCCGTACCATTTTACCACATTGTTCTCCTCAACCTTGTGCAGAAAGCGAAAGCCCTGCGTCCTTTTGCTCCATGCATCCACCGAGACGGAGACGACACCGACGCATTGCCTTCCCCAAGTCCACGGCTTTCTTTGGGCTTCAGCACATGCTACTGTGACCGACTCCGCACTCACTCGTCCTCCGACACTGAGTGACAGTGGCACCCATAATCTATCAATCCTCTGCATGCCACCGGGCGACGTGACAAAAAGATGACGCAGAATGAAATTCCAGCTTGCTGTCAGAGTGCCAAAGGACATCAAAGCATTCACAATCGTTCATGCTAATTGACGACCAACGTATCCTCCATCTCCACTGGAACAAGGGAAGACAACTGGCGTTGTGAAGCCAGTGGTTGTGATGAATCGCTGAGATGGGAGCTTCATGGGGTGGTGGAATCTCAATGAGTTGCCACTTTTCCTAGCCTCCATGCCTTGTCTACTACGGACTTGTCCACTTTAACCCTTCTGCCATGACCTCTTCCGGGGAAATCCATCACCCGTGACCGAAGAACCTTGCCAGTGAGGCCTACCACGACACATTACTGTGAGTTGGGAACAGTGATTTGCTGCAGAAAAATTAGACGACGAATCTGCAGCTACTCGCGTAGCTTAATTTACTGGATGGACAAATTCTACCGTTATCTACCTCATCATCAGGTACCCAAAAGCAGCAAGCTGTGAGGCACAGTAATGGCAGTCACAGATCATCATGTGCTCATGGAAACAAACATGGACAGTAGTGATCACGGAACAAACAGTTGGCATAAATCTTGTCTCATCTCATCATCAGCTCGAGTAGAACATCCTCAATATGCAGATGCATTGTCCCCTACCTTCCGCTCAAATGTGACATCTAATAACCATTTGACACGGTACTAATTTAGATCAAATATACAAGTCTTATCGTTAGGCAACGCATCATTTGGTTGTGACTTAGCTTGTAGAGCTCGGATAGTCCAACATGAACTGAAATGGCAACTGCAGGTAATAGAAGGGAATGATGATGAACTATTGATATCCACCGATCGTGCAGGTCCTCAACCAATGTCGAGACCATTGAAGCCTGGCCTTTGTTTCAGATCATGGACAGAGAGGATATATACAAGACTATAGAAGGCCAAGTTCATGGATGGGCTGAACCAATTGTTTGGGCCACATGGTTTGGACCTATGTACATTAAGTGTGTCAATTCCCCCGAGGAGCGAGCGTGTCAACTCCCCAAAGGAAGAATAATAAGCTCCTTGAAGAGTACAAAGTCAAATTACTTGAAGAATATATATGATTGGACCTGAAAAATCGAGATATTTTCTTAATTAAAATATTTTTTATTATTTATTTCAGAGAATATTTATGTTCATTCTAAATTAGATTAAGATGGGAAAAATAATTTTTTTTATTCAATCGCTAGCCACCTGTCTCCTTCCGCCATTGTTCACCTTCCACCTTTCATTTCTCGTTCTCTTCACCTCCTTCCTCGTGTAGCCTCTCTTATACAACTTTTCGTATCTTATATACCAATAATTATATACTTTATTTTACTTAAGTCTACATAAGTGAATTGGATATTCGCTTTTTAACTTTTTAAATATCGTCATGTATTATTTAATATAGATAAAGTTCTTTTTTATAATATTGGTTGATGTAATTTTTTTTTATCATATTCAGTATGATGATAGTTTTATTTTCATTCATCTAATATTATTCATTTTTATAATTTTAATATTTTATATTTTTTTATTTCTATTTTTAATTATTTTTATATATTTTAAAATATTTTTAATTAAGCATACGATCTGACCAGTGATTCAATGACCACATTGTTTCCCCAATTTTTTTCCCTTTATTATTTTCTAAAAATATTATTCAAGTTTGAATAACATTATTATTTTCTAAAAATATCTTAACACATTCGTATTGAAGATACTAATGACAACAAATGTCGTATTCCCTTTATAATTAAGCATACTAATTATAGTATTATTTTCGACATAGATCATGTGGGGTGAACTTAACCTTGTCTAATATAGAGCACATGATAATCTAGAGATACTAACGAGAACAAATGTCATATGTGATTCGAATCAAATATTATTCCCTCGTTAAATGTAAAATGACTTTTATTATATATGAGTACATTGTACATATTTAGTATAGTACGATAATAGGAAGAATATCGTTAGTCATCATTAATTATTATTTGATACATGATCCCTATATAACACCTAAGGTAAAAAAAAAGATAAAGGCCATCATCCACTTGTTTGTTCAGGTAGATAAAGGTTCAAGGTAAACAATTGTAAACTATCCCTTCTTGTCGCCCGCATGGATAAAAGACCAAAAGGAAGTTATTTGAGATGGTTAAATGTTATCTCCCTATTGAATATTTTATATAATATTTTACTTCTTTATAACTAAGTATAAAAGCTCATCTCTAACATGACCACTTGTATCTATACTTATTAATATCGGGTTACTAACTTAGGCGTTAGAGAGACCAAATCGAAAAACCTCTCGTGACCTTAGTCTTCGTACAGGTGATATCTTAAGAACTTGATATTTTTACCTCAAATAACCCTACACACACGAGTCCAAACCATGTCGAGCTAACTAGGACGTCAATAACATCTTTTTGTAATATTTTTTATACTAGAAGGAGAGCCCAATGTAGTAAGAACACCCTATCATTGACCCTCTCAATGAATGCTCGAGCGAAGAGATTTTATTTTGGACATACAATACTTTCACTCAAAGTGGATAATAGCCACCATTTTTGCACATAGATGCATTCACCTCATTGTGAACACTGATGTGATATTGATGTTTATTCAATAACTCAAGTATCTCATCCTTAGGGATGATACTAAGCCACCTATTTATCCCCGTCAAGATATTTTTAAATCTTATTTAGCGATTGTAGACACTAATAAGCATGATATAGGTTGTCACTCCGCTCTTTCCCTAATTAGCTCAATAGACAGTGCCACTAGCTCAACCGTGATCTTTGGCTTAACTGCCATTGACAGTGACACTCATCGAGGTTCCCTAATCTGATGTGGTGTTAACATCCCAAGAGCATACAAGACTTATCGAACCATTGGTCAAGAGGGCATTTCGGTCCCTAATTATGAAATTCAACGGACTACACCACTACTCTATCTTGCCTAAATTTGAGGCCTAGTTAGTGAAGATAATAAAGGATTCCCTACGGATCCAACTGCAATAGATGGATTGATATTTGGAGGAGATGCGATGAAAGTTCCAACAGTCAAAGGAGGAAGTTGGTTGACCCCACCGTAGATCGATTGTTGTTCATCTAAAAAATCCAAGAGGAATCAATTCCAGCGAACTTTCATCTCCCTTCCTTAGAGGCATTCGATAGTAATGCCAACCTGATAAAGCATATTGTAGCTTTTTGCACCCAAATGTTGCTGTATGACACTTCAGACACTCTAGTATGTCACACTTTTCCGACCATAATAAGAGGCCTAATACGAGAATGGTACACCTTTTTGAAGTCACTTTTCATCAGTTTTTTTGCCCAACTTGTGAGGGAGTTTGAACTTGACTCTCTTTAGAACATATACCCATGGTATTCAGTGGTAACACTCCTAAGACTCAAGCAGGGGAAGAAGGAAATACTCACAAACTTTGTCACTCAATTCACGAATGAGATCCCAGGTGTGATAGATGTCTATATATTACTCATAATATAGACCTTCATGATGGGGCTTAAGCCCTTTGTCTTTTATGGACGTTGATAGAGAGATTACTTATGACTATACTTGAGGTACTCTAAAGGGTCAATCAATACATTACCATTAAGGTAATAATCTTCGACAAGTGTGAGGAGTCATGCAAGATGCCGAAGTATGAGCAACCACAATCAACCCCCAACCTGAGGTCACTAAGTAAAGAAAAAATGAATGACTTGAGTTACCTTGTCTAAGGTTTAAGCTGTCCCTCCCTTAATATAACTAAAACTAAAGTTTTTTATAGATAAAGGAGAAGGAGCTCTTAAAAGATCATTATCCGATGAAGACCTCATCGGTGAAAAGAGGCATGTTCAAATACTACTAGTTCCACCGGAATTACGATAACAACACAGAGGATTGCCTTGACTTGAAAGAATAGATTGAAGAGCTCATATGTTATGGACATCCCAAGTGATTCATTCGAAAGAACTAAGAACTCTCACCTCGATCTCAAGGGCTAATGGAAAGGCAAATTGATGTTATCATTGGTAGACCTACCTCGAGGGGAGATAACTTTTTGGGTTATAAGGATTATGCTTAAGCTACTATTGAAAAGTGCTTGAGAATGGAGGGTAACTTGGAGATATCTTTTAAGGAGAAAGAGACACAAAGGTCAAGAAACTGATCTCTCTTCTTCTGCCCAAGGTAGAGAGGTTTGGCACCCAAGCCTCATTGTAGCTCACGCCACCACCAAGCTAAGGAAGTCAAGAAACCTAACCCCCTTCCTCTGCCCGAGGTAGGGAGCTCGGGCACCCAACTCTTCCTTTTGTCATTATGGAGGTTGAGAAACCCAACCCCCCTCTTTCATCCAAGGTAGGGAGGTCAGACATTCAACTTTCTCTTTTCATTGCTAACGACACATGGAGGTCGAGAAACTCACCCCCTTTGTTGCCAAGGCGTGGAGAAGGGTCGGATTCACATCGATAATAATTGATCTACTTCTGAAGAGGGCCCATCAATGAGGAGTGATCTCTCACCAAGACATAGAGGTTAGGTGCCTCAACCCCCTGCCCCTCGTTGTTGAGGCATGGAGGTTGGGCATCCCAACTCCCTCGTTCCCGATAAGGGCCTATCAATGAGGAACAACCCTTTGCCTAGGGACAAAGGTCATTGATGCAAGGTGCGAGTTGGGCATCCTCAACCTCAGGCGTTTGCTTGATGTGTGAAGTCTAGAATCAATCGAAGAGGCATAAGCTTAACATATCAAATAAACTAAACGTCGTACTTTATAACTCTTTTACAAGAGCCCCCTAAAGCATACCTTTCGAGGGGGATAAATAATAAAAAGAATATCGTCAGTTAATCATCATATGATAAGTAGCCTATGTGTAGCACTTAAGTTAGAAAGAGAAGACAAATGTCACCTTTTACGTATCTGCCCACATGGTCAAGGGTCCAATATATGCGATTGTATGTTGTCTCCCCTTGTCGCTTGTATGGATAAAGATCAATCGAAGATTATTTGATACGATTCGAGATTATCTTCCTATAGAATATTTTATAAAATATTTCATTCCGTTATGTTGAAATATAAAAACTCATCTATAACGTAATAAAAAGATAATTATTTTTTAATCTCTCGTATCCATAGTATCACTAATTTCGTCGTCCACGAAATTTCTTCACATTTTAAGAGTTTTATATTTTTATCTTAAAAATATTTCTAATAATCATATATATATATATATATATATATATATGTCATATCTTCACATCTTTTCAGAACATAGCGTGACAGAAACGATGAAACGACGGCACAATTTCGAGAGAACCCGAAGGATTTATAGCCGTCTGATCTCACGGTTGGGCGTGTTGGGTGTCAAAAAAAAAAAAAAAGATTCCGTAACGTAATGACATCGCTTTTCGTACCCGTTGAGGTCTTAGTCGATGTACCACGTGTGGGACCCGTCCGTTTCCTCCAGCTGAAAGGAACATAGTTTAACGAGCGACGGTGAAATGGTAGGCGAAAGCATTTCTTATCGTATGGCACGACCAAAAGAGTCCATTTCACTTTCTTCAAAGCCAATCAGATACCGTTCGTCATTAACATTCGGACTATGTTCGATGCTCTTCGTGGGTCCCACAGGGAAAACAACGGTTTCTAAGAGTCCATTTCACTTTCTTCAAAGCCAATCAGATACCGTTCGTCATTAACATTCGGACTAAGTTCGATGCTCTTCGTGGGCCCCACAGGGAAAACAACGGTTTCTAAGAGAATTTTAAGCAACAAAACGAAACGGCTCGTTTGATGAGATCCGTTGTAACGCGTACCTCCACCAGCTATAACTTCGCTTCGCCTCTCTCTCCGGTCTCCTCGAAAAGTTCGTTCTCGAGTTCTCCAAATCGTTCGTCTCCCTTCCAAGATTGTCTTCGAGCGCTCCGTATTTCTGCCTTTGCTGAGGCGTTTGGATCTTTTGCTCGGTTCTTTCAATTAATTGGTCAGTTCGTCGACATAACTTGGTAGGAATTTGGGAATTTCTAGGTGAGCGAGTTAGTTTCAATTTCTCCCTCTGTTTTTTCCTTTTAGGTTTATTCGATAGCATATATTGTCTTCAACCGCTTTTTGGCATCTGTTCCGACATCATTTGATAATGGAGTCGGCTTTTCGTGTGAATTACTGATCATAAATTAGGTCACTTCTACGGAGTGGTGGTTCATTCTATTGTGAAAATTTTGGTTTTGATTTTAGTTTGGTACTTGTTTCTTTGAGTTATTCAGTCTAGCGAGCTTTTTGAGTTCTTCGTCCATCATGGGCAATTACGTGCGGTTTAATTAGTAACAGATGTAGTGGATTCATGCAAAGTTACAGTAGATAGACAGTATCTTAGTGTGATGCAAAAAGAGCTTTTTGCAGCTGCCAAATCTATTTTGGGGTTGGCTCACGACCAGATAAGAAAATATGAATCATGGCATCTCCTTTTGCAACTTACGTGGTTCAATTGACGGGAATAATCTTTCCTCTTGAAGGGGTAAAGGTGCATACATTAACTCTCTCTAGACTCTGGATCAACGTCTTGTTATATGCCCAGACATACTAACTTCTGGAAGATTTTAATGAAGAAAATCTAAATTTACTCACACGCTCGCTGAGTAAAAGAATTTGTTGGATTAACATAAATGCTCCAACAATAATTAAAATTTCATCTTTCCATGTTAAATCAGTTTTTCTTCGGAGCAATAATACATAGCACAACTCAATGCTGGACTTAAGAAATTCAGCCCCAGATTTAGCACAGATCCTGATTATATGAGGGAGTGGGGTTGGTTTTGGTGCTCTTTAGATGCGTGCAACATCTCTCGAGTCTTTTCTTAAGTTGGCATGCAGTTATGGTATGCAGCAATTTGACTGCTTTGTGTTGTCCTTGTTGACAAGCCATGATAGAAAAGTTTGGTTTTTCTGTTGTTCCATATTTGGGTTTGATATTTGGTTTTACTTTGGTAGCTGATGGTAGTATTCTAAAGATTTTAAGGTCTGATCTTGTTGTTACGGAACTTGGTAAATTCCATGGTTTCCAGGGTTTAGTCAGTTTGCTGCTTTAATATGTAAATGTCAACTCATGCAGATATGATGTAAATCTGTGATGAACTGTTTCTATTCAAAGCAAGAGTATGAGTTTAAGACTGGGAAAAAGTAAAAAAATTCCTTGTTTCATGCTTACGTTACTGTGATTTAGATGCCACAAAATCTTTTATTCAAAGCTAGAGTATGAGTTGGAAGACTAGGAAAAAGTAAAAAATTGTCTTGTTTCATGTTTACGTATCTGTGATTTAGATGCCACAAAATCTTTTATTGCTCGATATTTTGTTCCGGCTTATTTGTTATCTGTTACTAGTAATAATTCAAGTCAATTTGTCAACTGTTTAAGTCATGATTATATTACATGAAAATATATTTGGAAACACAGTGGGATTTAGTTAAATATCCACTCCTATTTTTTCTGTGAGTTTTGATAATATTATGAAATATTTTTTTTAATAAATATGAAAAAGGAGGATGGTTCTTTGGTCAGCAATGTGGTTGGACTCATGTTGTAAAATCTCATTTTGTATCTTAACAAGAATTTTGCAATAGAAGAATTCTGGATTGGAAAGAAGATCCTTTGTTTCCTTGATGGGAAATAAGGTAACCTCACAAATGAAAAGAAGAAAAACAAAACAACAGTTCATCACATCTATGCTTGAAAAAAAAAACGAAATGTGTAATGTGAACATGTGTCTACCTTTCGAGTCAAGGTATTGATGCATTCTATAGCCCTTCAATTCCACAACTGCAAGTTGAGGAACTAATGCATGTTTTATTCTTTTATACCCTTGACTTTCTGTCATTACAACTTATTTTGGTTGTTTACTTTTAAAATTTAGAGATTTTGCAACTTATTTTGGGTTGAGATCTTTCGTTCTGACATTCATGGAATAATCTATTTAGTCTTGTGTACTGTAATGGTGTTGACAATTCTCGGCAGCACTTCAGATGGTATCACACTTGGTACATACTATTTTACATGTTGAGAATGCTACCAGTTTGTTATTTATGAAAATTAGGTTGGATAGATATCCTGCTACATTCTTTACCTTTCAATTCCTCATTTAGTGTATGCTCTAAAATATGTTGAGTCATGTGGTCAGGTGAAAGATATAGCTGTTGTACTAGTTTGAGCAATGGCCGGACAAGCTGCAAGCTCACTGTCTGAATCATTTGAGTATATGCTGCTTGAGGGAGATCCTTATCATCTAAGGGCCGTTGTATCAACAAGTCTTAGTAGGCCATGGATTGATTCCAACATGCTGAAACTTAAGCACAGGATAGGACGAGGATCTTTTGGTGATGTTTGGATTGCGACTCATCACCAACATACTGATGACTATGAGCACTATCATGAAGTTGCTGTAAAAATGTTATACCCTATAAAGGATGATCAGATTCAAACTTGTTTAGCCAAGTTTGACAAGATATTCTCCAAGTGCCAAGGGCTAGAAAATGTTTGCTTTCTTCATGGTGTTTCACTTCAAAATGGAAGAGTAAGTTGATAATCTGATTTAGGCATTATACATGTTGGAGTTTTGGTGAAGGAAACTTAATGAAAAAAAAAAAATTTATAGTGTAAACACTGGAAATGTGTGTTGAATAATTTTACAGGTCTGCATTGCTATGAAATATTATGAAGGATCAATAGGTGACAAGATGGCCCGTCAAAAGGGTGGAAAGCTTTCACTTTTTGATGTCTTAAGGTGCTACTGTAGATGCTGGAAATACTGTTTTCCTCATACATTAGTTGAATATGGTGTTAATAGCTATTATCTGCAGGTATAGTGTCAATTTGGCTCAGGGAGTGTTGGATCTCCACAGAAGAGGGTTTCTGCTCCTCAATCTTAAGCCTTGCAACTTTCTTCTTGACGAGCATGATCAAGCAATCATAGGAGATTTTGGAATACCACTTTTACTGCATGGACTTACATTGCCATCTTCAGACCTGGTTCAAAGACTTGGTACTCCAAACTACATGGCTCCTGAACAATGGGAACCAAGCATCAATGGTCCAATCTCATTGGAAACTGATTCATGGGGGTTTGGATGTAGCATTGTGGAGATGCTAAGTGGTGTACAACCTTGGCGTGGTAAGTCACCTGATGAAATATATCAACTAGTTGCAATAAAGAAGGAAAAGCCAAATATTCCTCGTGGCTTGCCTCCAGAAGTGGTCGATATTCTTTATGGATGCTTTGAGTATGATTTTCGAGATCGTCCTTTAATGATGGATATTTTGTGTGCATTTAAAAGGTAAGTAACCGTTCCAGCATTAGATGCTAAATGTATTGGTTGTGCCATTGTAACTCAAAATTTTGTTTAGCATAGATGTTAAATTTATGATACTGTTCATATTAAATGACTATTCATCCTACATGTGTGTGTCATCTGTTACTTATTTTATTCTTTTTTATGTGAGTGAACAAACTGATGTCAGATTTTTAAAAAAAAGAAATTTAGTGTCAATAATGCTTGGGTTTTATTAGGAGGATTTTAACTGTATTGGGAAGCAAATTCTTGGACTAAAGGTCTTTTGTATTCCCTTTTATAAGATTGTTTATGGCTTATCGATATCTCTTAATTTAATAAATGTTTGTTTGAAAAATCAAAGTGCCTTTGTGTGTGGTTTCATCATGTCAGGAGCATCTTAGTGCTTTTTGGTCTCTCATCTATTATTATTTCCATTTCATGTTGTAGAGAGTTTACATGTGGACATGGATTAAATGGTAGCTGCAACTTTTATGTGTTCTGACAGAGTTAATTGATACACAAAGGCTATCCTATAACTCAGTTGCGTGCCAAGCACATGCTGGCTGTAAGGCAGCATGGTACCACTCCCTGTGCCTAGCATGTGGAAAAGCTTGATACTAGTTCTTGAGCAATGTATTCAGCAACATATTTTACATGTATATGGAAAGCTTACCACAGCATCAAAAAATGGACCAGGACAACAATCTTTGGCAGATACTTCTAGCTGAATTTTAGAGTTATTTTCTTTTCTCTTGTTTATTGCATTTCCCCATTGTTCTTAGGTGCTACCTTTTTGACCATTCATGAGACTGCTTTTCCATTATCATATGTTGTCCTATGTTTTCCTTTACAGTGTCATTTTCTTCGTCATGTTTTACATAGAAATACCAAAGGTTTTCCTTCTTTATGAATCTAACAGCACTGTCATTCATCTTTCTTCAGTCCTTGCTTCTGAATGTACTCTTTCATCCATTATAATTCCAGATGAAGACCTAGTCTGTTGGTCCAATAACATCATATGTTTTTATTTTTGGAGAGGGTTTACCTAATGATGCTCAAGTAGAACATTTAATTATCATTGAAATTTAGAACTGATTTGTTAAGAAATGTTCTTTATAATGGTGTTGATTGACATGACTTGTTATATACTTTTGTGTTGGATGCGGAGGTTTAGTTGTTGGCACGTATTTTTTTTGTCATGTTAGAATTTAGGGATTTGTAATGTTCCACTTAATAGTTGTACTGGAACTTCAAAGTTATTTCCATGTGAATGAGCTATTTATTTCTAAGGCATGCTGTAGACTTTTGTAACTTGAACTTAAATGAAATGTCTCTTATGGAAACTTTGTGTCTACCTAGTTATCATTTGTTGATCACTTTATGCAATATCTCCTGTTATTCAATAATCTAATCAGTAACTACCATGTTTGACAATTAAAGCTATATTTGTAATCGAGACATTTCCATAATGGGGAAGGCAAATCATGATTTCTGATCATTAAACAATGACATGAGGCCATTAAACTGGTTTATAGTACTTTGTTGGTAGTGTAATTACTAGGAAGTCATCATGCTCCATAATGAATGTTGATTAGTGAACTGCATAAGCTACTTCATGCTGATCTGTTCATGAAGATAAGGAGAAGCATCAATTTTCTTTCTCAACTGTGTGAAGTGTCTTTCCTATACTTCAAATATGATCAAAGAACAATATTTTCACATTAATCGAAGTTTCCTTGTATGGAAAATTTTCTGACCCGCTGCCACTCAGTAATAAGGCATGCTCATGTTTTAGTTGTTGGATTGATGTGGTTAGAAATTTATTTAATAACCTTGTTATCAAACAACCATCAGGGTTGCAAATGGTCTCCAATGCTTTAGCAAAATGTTACAAGTGTGAAATAGTTTTTAGCAGGTGTGCTTGGATTTTTTTCTTTTTTTCATCGAAAGGGTGAATTAACCTTAGCAAGTGCAAACTGTGTTTTCATTTTTCAACATCTAATTTACATCATTGATCTATGAGTTATGATTAAGCCGAACTCCTACCAAATTGTGAAAATAATATGTAGTAGTAGGAACTAAATCTATGCTCATGATTATGAGCCCTTGTAACATGTATTTGGTTATTTATATTTACTAGCATGCTCTCATGCTCGGAGGATAGTCCTCCTGAATCCAATGACAACCTTTTACAACAGTTGGCTTTCTGAAGAGAAAAAAAAGGGCAGATCTAACCTTTCATTGACTCTTCTTTTTTTTTTTCAGTTGCGAGGGTGCTGTTTTTAACAAGAGTGATTCTGATTACCAGATGGCAGGAAAACGTTACACCAATTGGTCACTCCTGAAGGACGAACTTCAGATAGGTGACACTGTCCGCTCTAGAAAGCCCAAAAACTCATGCAAACCAGAAAGCATGGAGATCCCAGAGGGAAATGTTGTTGGTAAAGAAGCTGATGGCGATAGCAATGGTTTCATTCTTGTCAGGATTCATGGATTTCACAATCCTCTCAGAGTGCACTGCTCCATGGTCGAGAGGGTGACATATGGCTTTGCTGCTGGTGACTGGGTACGGGTAAGGAATGAGGACAAGAAGAGGTCTCCAGTTGGCATTCTCCATAGTATAGAGCGTGATGGAAGAGTAACAGTTGGTTTTATCGGGATGGACACTCTTTGGCATGGGCATTACTCGGAACTTCAAATGGCAGAATCCTACTGCGTTGGTCAGTTTTTGAGGTTGAAGGCAAGTGTCTCTAGTCCCAGATTTGAGTGGCCATATAAACGAGGCAGCGGGTGGGCGACTGGTAGGATCGCTGAGGTTCTTCCGAATGGTTGTCTCGTGGTCAAGTTTCCAGGCAGATTTAGCTTTGGAGAAGCCAGCAGATTTCTTGCTGACCCTTGGGAGGCGGAAGTGGTAAGCTTTAAGACATGCGAGGGAGTGGTAAAGAAGTACCAGCACCTTGAAGACTTCCATTGGGTTGTGAGGCCATTGGCCATTGCTTTGGGTTTGTTCACAGCTTTAAAATTGGGGCTTTTTGTTGGAAAAAGCTTCGGCAAGTCGAGCAGGAAGAAAGCTGGGAAAGTTAGCATCTCTGGACAGGC